AATGGACTTTCATAAACAACAAGGACCTACTGTATAGCACAGGGAACTATATTCAATATCTTATAATAACCTATAATGGAAAAGAATCTAAAAAAGAATATATATATATATGAATTACTTTGCTGTACACCTGAATCATTGTAATTCAACTATACTTCAATTAAAAAAATTTTTAATACATAAAAATTAAAAAAAAGCAAAAAAATAGACTTTCAATATTTAGATGTGAACTAAACTTGATACTTAGTAATGTTCTAGCCCAGCTGAGACTGATAGGGCATTCTGAACTGGTCTCCTTAAAATGAATTTATGTCTCTACCATATTAGAAATTGTGATTTCTCAAGTATTTGCTTCTTGGGCTGAATTTTAACTAACATCAAAGAGATTAATGAGGTAATCATTTAAATATGGATGAAATTAATTCTACATCAACTTTCTTGTCAGAAGCTATCAGAAACCCTTCACATAACACTGCTATTTATAATAAATTATCATGGTTATTTTAATAACTTAATCCATTTGATAACAGTGTACTTCTGAGAGTACTCTGGTAGCAAAACAATTTTTAGCTGTTATCGGTGACGAGATAATTGTCTTCCTGTTTATTTCAATTCCTGGTTGAAGGCAAGTTGTATATGTATAGTCTCTGGAAGCATCTGTCAGATCAAGTATTGCCAACAGAGACAAAACTTGGGGAGAAAAGTCCTCAGCGAATCTTTTTTTTTTTAAATTTATTTATTTTACTTTTATTTATTTTTGGCTGCATTGGGTCTTTTGTTGCTGTGCGCAGTCTTTCTCTAGTTGCGGCGAGTGGGGGCTACTCTTTGTTACAGTGCACAGGCTTCTCATTGTGGTGGCTTATCTTGTTGCGGAGCACAGGCTCTAGGCGCGTGGGCTTCAGTGGTTGTGGCACATGGGCTCAGTAGTTGTGGCACACGGGCTCAGTAGTTGTGGCTCGCAGGCTTAATTGCTCTGCAGCATGCGGGATCTTCCCGGACCAGGGCTTGAAACCGTGTCCTCTGCATTGGCAGGCGGATCCTTAACCACTGCGCCACCAGGGAGGCTGCCCTCAGGGAATCTTGAAACACCATAACAGAAACATGATAAGAGAAAATTAAAGATTATTTCTCAAGATTTACTGCATTTACTTACTCATTGATGTTCGCGTCTCCCGTTTTTTGTTTTTTTTTAGACGTACACTGAGAGAATATTCTCACCATCTCCCATATTTTCTTTCATCCTGCTGGTTTGAATGGCTTCCTCTAAGTAGGTCTCTGAATGGAACTTCCTTCATTTATATCACATGGACTCAAGCTCGTCATTGGCTGGGATAAGGCAGGGAACGTTCGGTCTCTCTCCTCCACCCCCACACCCCACCTCCTGCCCAGGTGCCTTTTACTCACATCCTTTCTTTTTTTAATTTCATTTATTTTATTTATTTATTTTTGGCTGCACTGGGTGTTCGTTGCTGCACGCAGGCTCTTCGTTGCAGTGCGCGGGCTTCTTATTGCGGTGGCTTCTCTTGTTGCGGAGCACAGGTAGGCGCGCGGGTGTTCGTTGCTGCACGCAGGCTCTTCGTTGCAGTGCGCGGGCTTCTTATTGCGGTGGCTTCTCTTGTTGCGGAGCACAGGCTCTAGGCGCGCGGGCTTCAGTAGTTGTGGAGCACAGGCTTAGTTGCTCCGTGGCATGTAGGATCTTCCCAGACCAGGGATCAAACTCGTGTCCCCTGCACTGGCAGGTGGATTCTTAACCACTGTGCCACCAGGGAAGTCCCTTAGATCCTTTCTTATCTTTGTTCCCCTCCGGCCTCCTGTAGGGCTGTGGGCTTTAGAGGTGCCTCATTTCCCCCTACCCCTCATCCTCCCATCTAATTCCCACCTAGGGTTGCCAGACGTAGCAAATAAAAATATAGGATGCCCTGTTAATTGTGAATTTTAGATAGGCAGTGAATATTTTTAGTGTAAGTATGTCCCTGCAATACTTGCGACGTGCTTATACAAAAAATTGTCATTTATCTGAAATTCAAATTTAATTGGGAGACCGTATTTTATCTGGCAACCCTACTGTCACCCTGGGGTTATAGGAGGCTCCAGCAGCTGCCTTGTCCCACTTACTAAGAACTCTTAGTTCTGCTTAAGTCCCAGCCCTGAAAGAATGCAAATCTAAATCCCACAATTTCATCAGAGTGGTCTACGTTCCTCCACTCCCAGTCATTCCCACAAGGATTCCCTTAGATGTTTCTCACTCTAGAAATTCCAAGTTGCTGAAGGATGGGCAAAGTACCTGATCTAGATTCCATTTAGCTTTGCCCTCAAGTATCCCGATAATTTTGATTTTTAGCAAAGATAAGACTCACCATGATGGGCCAGAATTCAGGTGCCTACATAACATACCCTTGCTTTCCATGCCTGCTCTAGAATGAAGCTATCAGGGAAAAAGAAATCTAATGTGAACACATATGCATTTTATAGCACCTTAAGACAGTTGTTTTAAAAGCAAGAAACCTGCTAAAGGAACAGGGAAGCAGTAATTATATTTAAGTGCAAACTTGAAGTGAAAAATTCATTTAATGTGAAGAACAAGGCACCTGAGGTGAGGTAATCCCAGCGGAGCCCTGAGAGAATGAGCTCAGACTTCTCCTTTGAGATTTTCTCTTTACTGGGTCTGAGAACAGCAGGAGGAAAAGAGAGTATAAATTCAGGAGCATGCCAGAGGGAAGCACAAAGCATTTTAGACATACTTTTCAGTGGCAGAGTTAGTGCCCTTTCAAAGCTTTCATTGTTCATGGCTGGCCAACTTTAAAGATACTCTCAATCCAGGGCACAGGTTTTTAAAGAATTCCTTCTTCCCACTGTGTCTGGGACCTTGAATTAGACAGGTAGCTTTTGTCTCACTCAGGTGATCAGAATACAAAAGGCAGCCTAAGTGTTGGGTACCAGCTGCCTCCATTCAGAGAATCCCTGAACTCTCCAAGGTCCCGTGTCAGTGCGATTGATTCTGAGCGCCCTAGAAGTGCCCCGCTCCCGGACAAATGACAGATGCACCTCAATTCACCTCAAGCAGAAATTCGGGTTTTGTTTTGGAATGGTATTAAAGAGTTCAAAAATAATGTAGTTTCCCTAACATAATTTTCTACCCTGATGAGCCACCGTGGAAACGTGGGCCCTTGAAGAGGTTGTCCTGCCTTTTCCCTTCCTCTCATCCTCCCCACTTTCTCTTATGTGGCTAACAAAGTTTCTAAATCTACATACCGGATGCTCTACCATTCAGTCTGTCTGAGTTTTTATGAACTACTCTAGTCTAAGTTACAGTGTACAGTAGAAGAAAGGCTATTTGACTTGAGAATCAGAAGAGCTGGGTTATGGTTGAAATGTCTCTACTAACTAGCTGTGGGATCCAAGAGAGCCATTGCATCTTCCTGGGTCTATTCCTGCTCTATAAAATGTGACTGTTGGACTTTATGTTCTTCAAGGTTCACTCCTGCTCTGAAGTTCTACGATTCTTTTTGTATCCTCTCCCATCTCTAGAGCAACTTGTGAGGAATTTGCATTAAGCTTTTAGACAAGCTTATTTAACAAATGCTTTCTTTCCTAATTTTCTTAAAACTAGGATAGTTTCTTAAAAATAAGTTTAGCTCGCTGAAAGCACAGTGTTCTAAGTAGGTAGTTCATGAAATCTAGAAAATAAACAGGTTGGATTTATGAGAGCTTTCCGATTCTCAGCATCTTTCAATGCCCTCAATTTATCAGGCACTTGTCTGGAAAGCCCCTTCCTCTAGGGGGCAGCAGTGTTGAATCCAACAATGGCGTAAGGAGGTAAAACATCCCCTCCTCTGTTTTTCCTGGATTGTCTCTCTGTGCATAATACACACCTTACTTATATCCATGTACATTGTTTGATATAAATGAACTCATTGTTTTTTCATGTAAATAACTTTTTTATGCTAACATACTTTTTTCAGTTATGTTGTTGTAAATGCATCAATTTTAAGTGTTTAGTGTGATGAATTTGACTAATATATACATACACCTATGTCAGCACCACTCAGAACTTTCCATCACCCCCACAAAATTCTCTTGTGCCCTTTTCCTCAGGCAACTAGTATTCTGATTTTTATCACCATAGACTGGTTTTGTCTGCTCTTGAATATCAAACTGTATAGTATGTATGAGTAAGGAAAGAACTGTTATGAAGTGTTACAGACACGAATATTTTCAGCTAAAATCAAGATATAAGCTGCCTAGCAAGGGAGTAAAACAGAGAGGCAACAACTTACTCACTTTGGTAAAGTAAGTCAAACTTGATAAAATGAAAATAATCTATATACTTTAGAAAGCCCTCATACCAAGTGATGGAATTAATAGTGTTCACAAAATGTTGAATTAGTCTGGAAAAGGCATTATAGGATGAAGAAGAAACAATCATAATCTAAAGAGAAGGAATTGCCCCCTTTCCTCCAACCCAAATCATTGGGTGATAAGTAAAAGTTGCCAATACACCTCTGACATCTGGGCCAGCTGATCAGAGAGGACCACAAGCGATTCAGTGTGGGAAGGAGATAACATGTAGAGGATGAGATGATATCAGAAACAGAGAAAGGGTTTACAAACAACCCAGAGCCCAGGGCCAGATGGATTGGTTCTGCTATTGGTGGACCTGGAAGGTAGCAAAATGGATACCAGAAGACCCTGTTGCCCAAGTAAGTGGAATAGCTGGCTCAATAGGAGAAAGGTAGGTATCACTCTGCACCAAGTTCCCCAACTTTGGATAAGCCTCAAATCCTAACAAATGTTAGGGGGAAAAATGCAAGGGGTTATGAAAAGATATTATATCTTATTTAATTTAAAAAATCAATTTATTGATATGCAAACCAACTGGACCAAACTGGATCAGACAGGACAGAAGCAATGCTCTAAACAAGCATCAACCACCAACTTAAGAGCTCTGATGCCAACCAGGAGGACACCCAAACACAAGTTTAGCGTGGGGGTAAGAGTCTTTATGTCTTCCGGTGAAGGCAAAGCCATTTGGTTGGCACTTCGTAGGCATATCTTTCCACCAGGTCGTCATCATAAGGTATGTGCCACGAGTCTCCCGTTGTTTGCACCACGGTGTCATAGATGAGAATATGCTGTTGAATTTAAAAGGGAACCACACGTTGAGAACAACACTAAAGGAATACCTAGCCATTTCCCTTTCTCTTCTGACAGCTTCTCACTTTGCTTCAGAGATGTATTCTCTATCTTACTTAACAATGGATTTTGAAAGAGCAGCTAACTCTGTGAAGATGAATGCCGGGGGTGGGGGGCCGTAGGGGGTGGGATAAATTAGGAGTTGGGATTGACACATACACACTACTATATGTAAAACAGGTAAACAACAAGGACCTGCAGTATAGCACAGGGAACTACACTCAATATTTTGTAATAACCTATAATGGAAAAGAATCTGAAAAAGAATATATATATATATATATATATATATATATGTATAACTGAATCACTTTGCTGTACGCTTGAAACTAACAGAACTGTTAGTGACTGACTGTATCTCTGTGGTAATTTGATACCATATTTCCTGTAAATGTTGTTTTATATATTTTTTGACCACTGGACCATATTTATCATTGGCTAGTGTATTTTTCTGTAGTAACTCGCCTTTAGATTTTCTCCCTTTGCTTTCACACAGGAGGAATCCTTGTACTTACAGGTATTTAAACTAGAATCAAAAAAGAACTCAACTGAGACTGTGCCACAGCAGTGGATTAAACAGGAAAAAGGAGTTATTTAGCACAAATAGAAGTTATGATGAGCCATAAGGAATAAGGAATTCTGAGCTATTGCAAATAAACAGGAGAATAAAAAACACATATGAGGATTTGTAATTGATGACATAACTGATGTTACAACTGATGACATTCCAGGTGTTTTCAATATGTCAATTAACGTGGGGTTGGCCTATGAAAACTTTGCTCTGGCAGACTCTGTGTTTCTAGGATCTGGGTAATTCCAAATACCAAACTAAAGCTGAGAAAAATAAAACATTGAGGGACTTCCCGGGTGGTTCAGTGGTTAAGACTCTGTGCTCCCAATGCATGGGGCCTGGGTTTGATCCCTGGTCAGGGAACTAGATCCTGCGTGCATGCCACAACTAAGACCCAGTGCAGCCAAATACATCAATCAATCAATCAATCAATCAATATTTAAAAGTAAAATAAAACATTGAGAACTAGTTGCAACATTCTTTGACTATGCCACATTCTTACTATCTACTTGGCTCTGCTGACATTATGTAGAGAATAGGTAACATACCTGAAAAGTTATTTTGGATCCCGGATGCCTACTAACAATTGCCAGTTGATGTCCCTGCTGCCACTTAAAGAACAGGCGTTGGGTCTTGGCATCAGGCAGACAGGCCTTGTGGTCCCGCATCAGATCTTTTGTGATAAACTTGCAGTGGTCCCCCGAGTGCAGTGTGGCATACAGAAGGAATGGATCGTCCTCTGAGCTGAGTCAGGCATAAGAAAGAACACAATCAAGCACACGCCCAAAGAGGCAAAGAATAGCATTCTTCACCATGCTGTTTTCTTACTCTGCTTTCCTCAGAAGTGTTCTGCTTTCTTAACTGACATGATCTCAGTGATACGTAAGAGCCGCCTGCAAGTCCTAGCTGGTAGACAATACTATCTAGAACACAGATGGAAGGCCAAGGGGAAAGGAATGCTAATGCTAGGGATTCTTAGCAGCTCAACTGGGCTCTCCCACTAGAATGGAGAACTCTAACAGTAATTCTCTCTTCATACTCAAAAGCTGGGTCTCTGTGTTCCCAGGGTGTGTTTCCTATCTGCTTCATCCACCACAGAGCACACCTTTCCCCTTCTCCTTTCCTCACTCGAATTCATAGTACTAACAGGGCAGGATGACAATTTCTTGCAAAAGTAAGGGGCTGACCTCAAAGCGGAAACTGGTTATCCCCAAGCAGCTTCTGGGTAGTCATCCTGATCAGCACCCAAAGGCATCTCCAACTTGAGAAGAGCCAGGAGCACAAAGCCTCCAATGGGCCCTCAACATCAGTGCTGACCACTTGAATACATGTGCTGTAAAAACAGCGGTGGCTAACTTGGCTCAGGAGATTTGGACAGCAACATGTGATAAGCCCTATGCCTTGATCCAAATGACCCGAAGTGGACCCTTTAAAGTTTACCTTATACTGACGTATTTCAAGTGAAATGATAAAACAACTGGGATCTGTCTGAAAAATCTCCAGGAAAAAGAGAGAGGAAAAGAAAAGAGAAAACATGTGGAGGTTGTATGGAGCAAGGTTAACAAATGATGGTGACTGCTGGAGCGGGGCGACAGCCACATGGGGATTCACTATACTGCTCTCTCTACCGCGTGGTTGAACAGGATTCTTCGGCACATTAATGGAAAACAGAGTTAATGTTACAAATGTAAATACTCAAATCCAAAGCCATAGAATGTCCCTGAATCAATCTTTACAACTGGGTCGGGAACTTCAGTGTATGCAATAAATACAGGCTCCAAACCAAACATGAGACCAATTTCCAACAGACTTCCTGGTTATAACACTGCATTTATCCAGTTCTTCCACCTAAGAAAAATCATGATGATGGTGACAGCAACAAACATACACGCCTGCCATGTACTTGGTGCTGTATGATTTGCAAGTTATCTTCTCATTTAATCCTCATGAGGGTTGCGTATGAAGAAAAGAAAACACAGAGAAGGGAAACGCCTTCCCAGACAGGAAGTGGCAGGGCCATGATCTAAACCTGGGTGGATTCATTCCCAAGCCTGAGCTCTTAAGGTTTACCCAGTATTGCCTAAGGTGACTGCATGAAGAGCATTATTATTGTCTTATAGTCCTGGAGAGATGGAAGCACCCCCATCCCATGAATAAATAAAAGGACTTAGCTAAAGAAAAATGGGATTTGGTTTGGGATCTGAAGGAGGGGTTAGCTTCCAGCTTTGTGCACTGAGTGCCATTTGACCTTTCTTTTTGGGGGAGGAGGGGAACGCGCTGTGCAGCCTGCAGGATTCTTAGTTCCCCGACCAGGGATTGAACCTGGGCCACGGCAGTGAGTGCTGAGTCCTACCCAATGGACTGCCAGGGAATTCCCCTATTTGATCTTTTTAAGAAGAAATGATTTGGGGAATACTGACAAACCTTGAAGTTATAACATTCAATCTAATGAAACCTAGACTTGGGGCTGAGGTGCGCTCATTATCCATGCAAAGTCGGAAGTAAACCTTTGTCAGCATGAACAGTGTGAAGACCTAAACGCATGCTGAAAGTTAATACGTGCTGTTGTGGATCTGTGCTCCTTCCGATCAGCTGCTTTTTCATACTCTGTGGACACTGTATATTTTGTCACTGACCATGTTTTCCATGTTCCTTTGGCTTCCTGGGAAGCTGTAGCTCATAGCAACATTCCCTTTATATTGAGAATAAAATCCAGAGCCCACAAGGAACTCTGCAATGTGGTCCCTGCCTTTTCTCAGACCTCAGAACTGACTACCTTCCCTCTTGCTGCCCCCAGCCCATCCACACTGGCCTGCCAGCCTTCCTCATTCCTGCCTCAGGCCCTTTTCAACACTTGCTGTTCCCTCTGCCTGGTACCTTCTTCCCACCACCCTTCCCCCTTTCTCAAATGACTCACTCGTTCCCTTCAGATCTGCCCCCTCCCAAAGGCTTTTTCCACTCCCCTCTGACCTATCCCCAACCTAGTCCCCTTCCAGCTCCTTACTCTGCTTCATTGTCTTCACAGCTTTGATCACTGCCCGGAATTACATTACCTGTTTACTTGTTTACCTGTTTACTGTTAAGTCACAAGAGGGCAGGGACTTGGTCTTGTTCACTGCTGTTTCTCCAAGAACACAGAAGGTGCTCATATTTGTAAAATATTTGTTAAGTGATCTATTTAGGAATTTATGGCATGCATTCTGTGTACTAATCTCATTTTGGGCTTTAACTCATTTCTCCTTTAACCTGATTTCCTCATCTATTTAAGTTTATCCTGCTGTAAAAACTATATTTTTGTAAGCTGTCTCAAATTTTTTTTTTTGGAATGAGGCTGAGTATATATACATACGTACACACACTTTTAAAAATGGCAAAAAAATAGGTAACAAGCAGATGACTGGAGCCTAGTGTAACTCACTTAATAACTTCAATACCTACATGTTGTCAGCAAAAAAAAAGCTGGCTTGCTTTTGCACCTTTTCCATATCATCCTTCCTCCACCGGGAATTCTGCTTTAACATATGCTTCCGGCCCAGGACCAGCACTTGAAGATTCTGCTTGGCTAGTTGAGAGACCACATCCAGGAGCTAAAAAACACAAAGCCAGTCCCCAAGAGGGTCAAGGGAAGAATCTCAAGTAAGGGGATTGATTCTTGCAGATGGTAATCTCAATGGTCAAATAGTCTTTTTCGGTAAGAGGTGAGAAAACATTCCTTAAAATAACAGTCCATCTTTGCAAATAAGCATGAGGAAAATGCTCCCTTGTCATAACTTAATGTCTAACACCTGCCCACCGGCCAGGCTACACTGGATACCTGGGGAGGTTTCTAAGCATAGACTGCGTTCCCTAGAGCCCATGGGGATAGAGGTAGGGGGACTAAGAAGGATGGGGTTTGGTTCATACACACTCCCAACCTTGTTTCAACCCAAACAGCTCAGCTTTTGTATACAGTATTTATATATTGGTATTCTGCATAGGCTTTCATTTGAGTAAAGGGTTCTACTTTATTTTTTAAAGTTTGTAAATGGCCAGAATACTGACTTTTCAGTCAACTTTTCCATGACATGACTCTGCTGAGACTGCTACCTTTCACTGAAATCCCTTTTTCCTCCCAAAGGTCTGTCAATTTCCATTCTCTAGCTTATTTTCCACTCAGTGAATCTACTCCCCATTCTCTCCACTTTCCACATGTCTTGTGCGCACATGAACTCCTCTCAAAAGTTTACACTGGGATTTTTAGTAAATCTAGTACTTTGGTGAGCTTGCTTACATTCATTCTTTCATAAGGAAAAGTCCATAGATTACTTTTATATACAACCTATTAAACTAAGCTATTAATGGATATTCCTAAGTATAATATGTAAAAGCTAATGAAAAACTATAACTTAAGTTATATAATAGTGTATTGGAAGTATAAAAGTTCTGTAATTTATAAAAACTGTTGGGCTGGGACTTCCCTGGTGGTGCAGTAGATAAGAATCTGCCTGCCAGTGCAGGGGACACTGGTTCGATCCCCGGTCCGGGAAGATCCCACATGCTGCGGAGCAACGAACCCCAAGTGCCACAACTACTGAGCCCACGCACCACAACTACTGAAGCCCGTGTACCCTAGAGCCCATGCTCTGCAACAAGAGAAGCCACCGCAATGAGAAGCCCGCACACCACAACAAAGAGTAGCCCCTACTCACCGCAACTAGAGAAAGCCCATGTGCATCAACAAAGACCCAACGCAGCCAAAAGTAAATAAAATTTTAAAAAAATTTTTTATTAAAAAAAAAAACAACTGCTGGGCCTACGAAAATCACAAGTTGAAAGTCACTGAAGAAATCCTTAATTTTCTTGGGTCTTGGTTAGAAAAGGCATTTTCTTTAGTCTAGCTTCCCCTTACTCATAAATTTCTTCCCATGTAGACTTTCAGGATATTATTTAAAATTCTCTGATCAATAAAATTTCATTTATTTATTTGGTCAGTTGTCAAATATTGCTTGAGTACCTGTTATGTCTAATACACATGCAGACTCTTGTTAGTCTAATAATGAATTAACAAGGGCTGAATTTTTAAATTACTGTTTAATGCTTTGGATTTATGTATTTTTTTGGCCCATCCAACTCCATTACTAATCTTATTATTTTAGGAAACAGTAGTGAGTTTTATTATCACGAATTCTTAGTTCTAGAATTAAAGGACAGAATAGACACAAGTTGGCCACTGAATGTGAGCTGATACTCAAGCAGAGAAGTGTATCAAGACCAGTGTGAGGACTCTGACCCAAAGCTTTATGACCAGTAAAATAAAATTCTTCCCTTCAAAGCTATGAATAATGGCTTCTGTGTTCATTCAACAGTTATTTCCCAGGCCTCTCTATGTATAAGGCACATGGTAGGTATCACAGCTTACAAAATTTTGAAAGACATGGCCCCTGCCTTTAGTGAGAGAGTGCCTAATAATTTTCTTACCCAACTATCAAGCCTGGGAAGATGTATATGCTGGCTCTACATATACTGGATGGTTAATAAACATTTTCTGATTAGCTGAAGAATATGCCTACCTCTATTTTTAATCTATCATAAAAGTCACTCATTATTGAAAACTTGAAACATATAGACAAGAAGGTGAAAGAAGAAATCACTCATACCTCACTACCCAAAGACGGCTAACATGTTTTTGCCAGTCTATTTATTCTATGCATTTTTACATAATCTTATAAGCCACTATTTTAAAAGTTGGGTTAGGGCTTCCCTGGTGGCGCAGTGGTTGAGAGTCCGCCTGCCGATGCAGGGGACACGGGTTCGTGCCCCAGTCCGGGAAGATCCCACATGCCGCAGAGCGGTTAGGTCCGTGAGCCATGGCCGCTGAGCCTGTGCGTCCGGAGCCTGTGCTCCGCAACAGGAGAGGCCACAACAGTGAGAGGCCCGCATACCGCAAAAAAAAAAAAAAAAAAAAAAAAAAAAAGTTGGGTTAGTAATTAAAAGTAAACATCTTCACTAAAAAAGTTTGGTTCATGGATTCAAACACCCCAAAAGACATTGAGAGTACATCTCCTTCAAAGTGCATTTATAACATTCCTTTATTAAAGCTATGCTGAGATTACAGATTATTTTCAACGAGCCCAGATACACAATGACAACTGGATTCATTAAGAGGAATGATGATTGCTTTCTAAAAATTCCTATATGAATTCCCACAAAGTTATTGTAAAGATACAAAAAAAAAAATTCAAACAAAACCAATTTTTGATACTGATTCCATGCATTTGAGAAGACATGGCTTAAAGAAAAACACAATTGGGTCTTCACATCTATACCTTGGTTTAGATAAATAGCCTTGAGTTTACTAATATTAAGTTAAAGGTAGGGGCCCAAGGACGAGCAGAAAAGGCTTAGCCTGAACTACTCTGAGGCACCATCTTGTGGCTGAGAGGTCTCTACTAGTAGCAGCTCTCTGAGAATGATGCAAACAAGGGAGAATAAAGACACAGGAAAGAAAGATGAGTGTACGGAATAGAGGCACTTGCCTGAAATTCTGTGGACAATCTAGCTATGAGCCTACTTCCTCTGGGGTAAATTCCAAGGCTGGGTCCAGTGGGCTGGATCAGAGTCATAGGTATACTCAGAATAGTAAAGAAAAAGTAAATTCACCTTAATTCTATGTTAGATCAAAAATAAAATGGGGAGAAATTTCCACTTCTGGGAAGATGGAGTGGATGTACTTTTCCCTATTTCTTCCACCACGTACAACTAAAACCCCAGATGTTATATATAAAACAAACATAAGACTTTGAAAAGTAGAGACAAAAAGGTAGAATGGCTAGGGACCTTGGGACATGAGGAATGACATGTTGGTGTTGCTTGGATTTCCTTTTTGCCTCATATATCCTATACTTGGAGATCAAGAAGCCAGCAACCTGGAAATGCAGACAAATGGATGCAGACAAATGGATGCAGACAAAAAAAGACCAACAAAGGCCAGTTCTCACTAGCCAAAGGACCAGAAAAGACACAGTCTAGCAACACAGAAAACCTGCTGGAGTGATAACACCAGGAGACTGTGATGTTATATGTGTGTGTATGTGTATACACATGTAATACCTAGAGCAACCATTAAAAATGCTATACAGGGGCTTCCCTGGTGGTGCAGTGGTTGAGAGTCCGCCTGCTGATGCAGGGGACACGGGTTCACGCTCCGGTCTGGGAAGATCCCACATGCCGCGGAGCGGCTGGGCCCGTGAGCCATGGCCGCTGAGCCTGCACGTCCAGAGCCTGTGCTCCGCAACGGGGGAGGCCACCACAGTGAGAGGCCCACATACCACAAAAAAAAAAAAAAAAAAAAAGCTATACAAAGAGTATACTCAAAAACATTATGATTAAAAAACAAAACAAAATACCCACTATAGACACATAAAAATGGAATTCTGAAAAAAGTTAAAGTAGCCCACAGGAAGGCAGGAAAAATAAAACAGAAACAGAAAACAGAGATGATAGAAAACAAAAAATAAAATGGCAGGCATAAGCCCTAACGTATCAATAATAACATAAAATATAAAGGGTTTTAATACATCAATTAAAAGACAGAGCACATACCAGAATTTTATTCCTTTTTAAGTCTGAATAGTATTCCATTGTGTGTATATACAACATTTTGTTTATCTATTCATGTCGATGGATATTTAGGTTGTTTCCAAAACCTTCCTTCCTGAACTTATCCTGTAATGAATATTCCTATATATGAGGCATATTGATTATAGCTATCTTGCTGGAAGAACTGGCATAGAACTTCTAATGTTTGTAGACATCAAATCCCAAAGACTTTAGAGTTTTGAAGATCTACAGTCCACACAACTCAGGAAATGTCAGAGACTGCAGAGGGGGAGGTAAAAAGTTAAGAGTAGGGAGAGGAAGTTACACTTGCTATTTAGGATTACTCAGAAAAGCTCTTGCTCTCATTGGCCTCTCCCACCTCTCAGGCAGCTTTTCTATTTCCTGAGCATCCCTATGCACTTATTTCTACCACATGTAGCTCTGCCAACTGTATTTTTACCCTAAGCTCAGGAACTACCTTTCAGCAGTTTTATGCCAAAAGTAAGTCACTTATGAGTAATGTCACTTATGAATTAAAAAAAAAAAAAACCCTCTTATGTATTCCTACCAGCGACAAAACAAATTAGAATAGAAGCCAAACCAGAAAATGTTTGCACCAAATATTAAGCTGCAACTTGTTTTTACTCTCCTGGTTTTTGGAGAATCATCCTTTAGACATCTTAAGGAGCAATGTGGGAGGGGAGGTGGGTGAGATCTGATTCCAGCTTAACCTTGAGATACTTAGTACCCAGAGTTCTGGAATCAATTTGGAATTTTAAATATTCTCTAGAATCAGCTGTACGGTGCATTTTGCTCTACTGTGTGGCTCAGATTCCAGACCCCTTAGGCAAGTCCAGAACTGTCCTCACCATCTCTGGGTTCTCCAGGTTGAGAACATCCCAGAGTGGATCTTTTTTTTTTTTCCCCTTTAGTATTTATTTATTTATTTATTTGCTTGCACCGGGTCTTAGTTGCAGCAGGCAGGCTCCTTAGTTGTGGTTTGCCAGTT